TCCCAGTTCATCCCAGTTTGGTTTAAATCCCTCCCAGTTCATCCCAGTTTAATTTAAATCACTCCCAGTTCATCCCAGTTTAATTTAAATCACTCCCAGTTCATCCCAGTTTGGTTTAAATCCCTCCCACTTCATCCCAGTTTGGTTTTAATCCCTCCCAGTTCATCCCAGTTTAATTTAAATCACTCCCAGTTCATCCCAGTTTGGCTTTAATCCCTCCCAGTTCATCCCAGTTTGGTTTAAATCACTCCCAGTTCATCCCAGTTTGGTTTAAATCCCTCCCAGTTCATCCCAGTTTAATTTAAATCCCTCCCAGTTCATCCCAGTATGGTTTAAATCCCTCCCAGTTCGGTTTAAATCCCTCCCAGTTCATCCCAGTTTGGTTTAAATCACTCCCAGTTCATCCCAGTTTGGTTTAAATCACTCCCAGTTCATCCCAGTTTAATTTAAATCACTCCCAGTTCATCCCAGTATGATTTAATCCCATCCCAGTCTGATTTAAGCCATTCCCAGTTCATCCCAGTTTGGGTTAAGCCTCTCCCAGTACGACCTGAACAGCAGAGAGACGGATTAAAACTTAAACTGGGATGAACTGGGAAAGGCTTAAAATCATACTGGGATGAACTGGGAAAGGGTTAAACTGTACTGGGATGAACTGGGAGGGGTTATAACCAAACTGGGAGGGATTGGGAAAGGATTAAACTGTACTGGGATGAACTGGGAAAGGATTAAACTGTACTGGGATGAACTGGGAGGGACTGGGAGGGGTTAAAACCCAAACTGGGAGGGACTGGGAAAGGGTTAAACCATACTGGGATGAACTGGGAGGGGTCACAACCAAACTGGGAGCAACTGGGAAAGACTTAAACTGCACTGGGATGAACTGGGAGGGACTGGGAAGGGATTAAACCAAACTGGGATGAACTGGGAGGAATTAAAACCCAAACTGGGATGAACTAAGAAAGGTTTAAATCATACTGGGATGAACTGGGAGGGGTTACAATCAAACTGGGAGGGACTGGGAAAGGATTAAAGTCATACTGGGATGAACTGGGATGAACTGGGAGGGACTGGGAGGGGTCACAATCAAACTGGGAGCAACTGGGAAAGACTTAAACTGCACTGGGATGAACTGGGAGGGGTTAAAACCCAAACTGGGAGGGACTGGGAGAGGATTAAACTGTACTGGGATGAACTGGGAGGGATTACAATCAAACTGGGATGAACTGGGAAAGTCCCCAGTGCTCCCAGTGACCCCTCCCAGTGCTCCCAGTGCTCCCAGTAAGGCCCCAACCCCCTCCCAGTGCTCCCAGT